CGTTTGCAAGGAGATTTATGGATATAAGTTAAAACTTTTAATTTATGTAGTTAAAAGTATGTAAGATTTTGGTATTTTATCGTCGTCTTAAAATTCGGTTGAGAGTTTTGGATTCGATTCACATAGATGGCGAGAACAATATATATTTGTGACGAATATAGCCCCATAATAGTGTAGCTTTGTTGTGGCTGTATGAACCCGTTGTAGAAGTAGTTTTTATAATACGTACGGTATGAGCTTCTAGAAGCCAAATTGTTATCAAATTTCATTTATCCCAAAGAGAAGATAGCTGTAACTGCCGATTAGCATTGTAACTAGTCTTCTATATAAAACTGCAAATTGGATTTTAAATTATAACATCATCGGAGGTGCTGAAGTATACAATTTGATTTGAAATAAGGTTGACAAAGTCAAGGTCAAGAAAGCTGAATCCATCATCGATTCCTCTCATTATCTCTTTTCTTTTTCTTTTTCAAAATCCCCACTTGGCTTCTCTTTCCAATAGGCGATTACCCACTCTTTTTTTTCATATTCTACATTCAAAACCAGCCTTCCCAAACAAAGCCCTCCCAAACAAAGCCCTCCCCTAAAGAATAACGCAATTTCTGGTTCAAGCTTCAACGGGCTGCTCTTCATAAATAAATGATATAATAATTTCAAAGTTGACAGTTTTTTTATTTATAGTTTTAATAGGACAAATAACATGTTCCCGTGTAACACCTTCCCCCCGATATTTTCAACATTGCATTGGTAAGTACATCATATATGGTTAAGAAATTCAATTTGAATTATGCTCCTCAATTGTATAGCTGGATGATCTCCTTCTTTCTGAGGATATTCTTTTTATATTGAGATCAATGAATTTCAGTTGCATAGTTTTGGTGCAAACATGTCGCAAGTCCAAACAATTTTCATGTATTTTTTTTCAAAATTTTGCAACTAATAATTGAGTATAAGAAATAAATGTAAATGGTCGTTTTTGGTTCATGTAGTTTGCCAGTTTTATCATTCTAATTTCCGTGGTTTCAATTGTGTCAACTTTTATTTATGTTGTTTTAAATTCGAGTAAATCAAGGACACGCTACAAATTTTGTCAACAGGTGACTCTTTCCCTTACAAAAAATTGTAGCTAACATTTGTACTGAATTTTGTACGCTACCAATACAAAGGACAAGTGATTTCGACATTGACTAATATATTGTGAGTCTATGACTATGAAATGGCCCCTCTATCCTTGAAGCTCTAAGACTTACAAGTTAAGAAATCTATTGCTTCATTACTATTAACTGAATTTCTTACAGAATGCTATGGTATGGATAAATTTGATGCACGCGAGGTAATCTTGAGTACCAAATCTGTAACCCAAAAAATATAAAAAACCAAATGTGATAAAATCATAAATCTCAGGATCATTTGTGAAAATGAACCTTGTATAAATGAAATGTTACAGTATTTTATGGTAGAGATCAATTTGATGCACGTGAGGAAATCTTGAGTACCAAATCTGTAATGAAAAAAATATACAAAACCAAATGTGATAATTTTGTAAATCTCTACATCATTTGTGAAAATGACCCTTGTATAAATGAGAGCTTGATGGTTCACCTCTAAATTTTGATGTCCCACGCAAAATTCATTTAGAAGAATTTTTGTTTTTATTTTTATATTTATAGAACTTTAGAAGAAGTTGTCCATCAATTTTATTGAGTACGGAGCACTAAATGAACGGAAATGCAATAATGAGAGGGTTGTGGGTGAGGAGTTCAATCCCACTATAAAGGAAAATATTAAACTTAAACTTTTTTAATCATTGTATGGTCGGATTGAACCCCTCACTCACATCCCCCACATTGTAGCAGCTCCCCTAAATGAAACATCCACTTACCACAAAAGTATACATGCCCCACGAAATATTCATAAATCCTACGCTTCGCATTGCATATTTTAAATATAATTCATTTTTTATTTTTTGTCAAACAATTTGTTTTAATTTATTGATAGTAATTTATTGGTAAGTATTTAGTAATGGTAGTCTCTCTATGGCATGTTTATTAATATGAAAAATCACTTCCATTCGAGGTCATTACAGTGTTTGTTAAGATTTTGGAAATTCAATTCAAAGTGAGGCACGGATAAAATCACCAATCACACCCGTGATTTTTCAAGACTGGGACTTCATAATGAGGGAGTGTTATTGTGATTGTTGGTAATCCTCAATTACTTTCTTTCCATTCCTTTTCCCTCTGATTCTTTGTTTTATTTGTTTATTTATAAATATTTTGTTTTGTGATGCAGAAGCAGTTGTCGTGAAAAGTTGCTGTAACCATGATATAGTTGTCGTTTTTTGGCCTGCACATGCAATGATTTGTCTCCAGTTGTAGATTCGGAGCTACGAAGCGTAGATGATGTCAGGTTGCATCGGGTTCAAGTTTAGTTGGTGCGACACCAGCGGCGTAGCCAGGAATTCTCTCAAGGAGGGTCAACATTATTAGCCAAGATAAATGGAAAAGCCATACCACCACCAGACTTGGACTATGATGGTTTAGAGGAGAAGAAAAATGCATACAAGGATGTGCCATGAGAATAAAACTATGAGATAATAGATTAATAACCTAAAATCTTAAGTATCCATTATTTTTCTACATAAATATTTTAGAATAAGTTCAATTATATAAGAAAACTTTGATGGTTGTTGTTCCAAAAATATTTAATGGGTTTTAAGACAATATTGGAAGATGTTGCTAATTAACCTGAACATGAATAAAAACACTTACGTGGTAGAAGGTCAAACCAGTTGCTCTACCACCCACTTCCATATGCTTCATCAAGGGTGGAATCAGGAATTTTTCAACGGGTGGGCTAGCTAAAGTTATTAGCTTAAAATTTAATGATTATTTTTTTTGGTACGTATACTTACAATTTCTATAGTCTTTGTAGAAATAAAAGTAAACATTAAATCATATAAACCACGCTCATAGCTCCATAAACTAATTTTCAATAAGTTTTAACATAAACCAAATAGGGTTTAACATTATAGTGGATTAGGCTTTTTACCTAGATTGACCTTAGTTCCTTCATGCATTCATATCATACATGAAAAATTGTTTTATGTAAAAATATTGACTAAGTATGAAAATTGGGTTTTTGGAATAATCATTTTCTGAAGATAATTTTTGGCGGCTTTTATTCCTCACACATCAAATAAGAAAACTTGATTTTATGGGAATTTAGTATGAAGTATATATTGACTTAATGAGCCATCATTTTTAGCCTAAATCGTATTTTACACTAAAACCGATTTTTCATATTTTGATTTGGTGGGAATTTGATTTTCTAGTATTTTTATTTGAATCCAAATGGGGGGTACTTCCTTATTTACATTGTAAACTTAAGTAAATGGAGTAATATAAAAATAAATAAAAGTAAAATGACAAAGACATTTACTTAAATGTTGAAAGTGGAAATAAGGTAATATGTACACTGTTACCATTGGGTCAGAAGGGTCAATAAGATAATCTGTACATTGTTACCATTGGGTCAGAAGGGTCATATGACCCTCCTAGGCCTTAATTGGCTCCGCCCCTGTGCGACACTATGAGTTTAACCGGTATGGTGATATGGCTCTCTTTGGGTTGCCCGAAAGGATGTGCATGGTGGTCTTGTTTCTTAGTTTGTTTTAGTCTAATAATTCCCATGAACTCTTTAGGAGTTTGATGTAGTTTGTTTTTTGTATAGGATATTTTATTTCTTTTTGGCTTTCGATACGGATTTGTTGTTTTTGCCGTCATGCGAAAAATCTTTATTGAATGTTTGAGTACATGTGCTTTTGATTATTGATTCAGGGATTTTAATTATTTTTTGGGTTGTGCGGATTCTCTCCAAATCAGTTCAACTTGTTGTTGCGTTTGGTCACTGAAGAAATTGTATCCATACTCAGCACCTTAGTTGCTTTGTACTTATTTTTGTTTATCTTATCAATAAAATACTATCGCTATTTTATCAAAAAATGGTTGCCATTAAGATCAAATCAAGGTTTTCCTCAAATTAATTTGACAAAATGCTAACTTGGAGGACTTACTTCAATCTTTTTGTGCTACCCTACAACACAACATATCCACGTGTAAATATTGAATACATATGAGTCAAGTACACATTCTGTCAATTAATTTAAAGGCTGTAAATTGATTCAATAAAATTTGAGTTCGAATCATGTTCAGGTCGTTCAAACAAAATATTAGGCTTATTAGAGATTAAAGCTCGAGCTTGAGCTTTGGTATACTCATCTTATAAAAGCTCGAGATTATTTGTGCTCAGCCTTCTCAGCCCATAATTAATCTCATAGAAATTATAACTTGGCTTTAATTGCAATTGGTTCATAAATACAATATTGATTTCTGAGTGTCTTTATTAGCTTTCTTTGTTAATACCACCCATATCTTCTGTTTCCACAAAAGTTACGGTGCCTACCATAAAAATTTGAGGGGAAAAAAAAAAAAAATCAGATTTACATTAGCTTTGATGGCACTGCTGCTAAATTCTTAATTTTTTTTTTTTCCAGATTCCAAAATTTTATTTTATTTTAATAAATTTATTCAAAAAAAAGAAAAAAAGAAGAAGAATGATACTATTTGAAAAAATATTGTTTCCCCCCCCCTTTTTTTTTTTAAAAAATTTATTAATATTCAGGAGAAGATCAGAACCGAAATTGTACTCTTTGGATTGTGCCATGATTAATTTATTCCTTTCACGAGCTACAAAAAAGTGAAAAGCCCCACATAATTCAAAAACAACCATTTTTGCTCTTAAGCCAATAATTAAACAAAATAGTAGAAAATGGAACTTGGCTTGCGGATTAGAGGTCTCAGTTTCGAACACTCATAATATTTTATGACATCTTAGTTGTGTGCGTGTGTGAAAAATCTCATCCTTATAATATAGACTATCGCTTGTAAAAAATAATAAATATAAACATATAAAGGTGAAAAAAATAAAAAGAATGAGTAAAGTGAGATATCGTGGGATCACTCTAGTCCTCTTATAAGGCTTCATCGGCGGACCACTCTATATAGATACAGTCATATACATTTTCCATGTACTCACACTTTTTCCTTAAATTTCTTCGTAAGCTTTACCTATAAGAACACAACTCAAACCTCTCTCGCTCCGTCACCTTTTTTCTCTTTTTCCCCAAACCTATACGGCTAAAATCCGAAAAAAAAGAAGCGCTTAATTATCAAATCAATTGAACAAAAATGCCGGTGGAGGTAGTTACGGCGTCGTTTCTGCGGCGGTGACACGTCAGCGTTTGGTGGTGGGGTTTTCTTTTTTTGAAAAAATAAATGGGTTCGAGTCCGGCGGGGAGTGGTGGCGGTGGTGGGTCCGGTGGTAGTGTTGTCGGCGGCGGTGGCGGCGGCGGTGCTGTGGGTGGTTGTACCAATGGTACAAGCAATAACGGCTGCTGCAACGTGAGCCTCAAGTGTAGGTGTAGATGGAGGTGTTTAATGTCCTCGGGGTTCGTTTTCTTCTTGGGCTGCTTCGTGTTGTTCGGATCAGTGGCCACGCTCTACGTCTGGTTCGCTTTCACGCCCTATTATGCTCGTACGGCCTTGTCGTCTTCCTCCATGCTTGGTTGTCAGGAGGACAATGAAGGTTCCTGGTCTGTTGGTGTTTTCTTCGGCGACTCTCCTTTTTCCCTCAAACCCATTGAAGCTGTAAGATTCTTAATTTCTTTAATTTTGTAATTTTTTACTGTCTGGGTGTGTGTGTTTTGTGTTTTTCTAATATGGGTATTTTTCGAATTTTTTAATTTATTTTTGGTTTAGTTTTTGGGTTGTGGTGGGTTTGCCTAGGATATTTCAATTTGGTTTGTTTTGATTTTGACATCTTCGGGAAGAAATTGGCTTTGCTGAAAGTGTGGTTTTTGCACAGTAAATTATTATAATTTTCTTTTGTTTTCTTGGAGGAAAAGTTTTTCTTCAAGCAAACTGCGGTGGTTAACTTGAGTTTTTCTTCTATGGGTTGTTCTTTTATTGTTTGGTTACTTTTTATTTTGGGTTTTAATTCCTTTTTCAAAAAAATAAAAAAATAAAATTTGTGAGCTGGGTAGTTTATCTGTTAAATTATGGATTTTGGGTGACTTTGAATTTTGAAAAATGGTTTGGAATTCGGTGTAGATGAATGTATGGAGGGACAAAACTGCGGCTTGGCCAGTGGCCAACCCAGTTGTGACTTGTGCTTCAGTTTCTGATGCTGGTTTTCCAAGTAATTTTGTTGCTGATCCTTTCCTTTATGTCCAGGTAATTGCTCTGGTCTCTATTCAAATTTCTTAGTTTTTACACTTCTGTAATCTAATTGATTGCATGTCAATATTCGAAGGACCAATTTAATGTACTATAGCAAAGGCACTTGAAATTTCATGGCTTGTACGTTTATAACCTTGAGTAAATTGTAATAGCAGAGTATTTATGGTCATGTTTCTGATAAAACCTTGAGGACTACATGGTTTCATGCTTAAATCTCAAGGGGAGATGGTAGGATATTATCATGTTTCCTTGGGGTGGGATGTAAAGGGCTGGACTCGGTATTTGATACACTTAAGTTTGAAGGTTTCATTTATATTTTTCTGTTCTTATTAGCAACAGTGGTAACAAGTTTAAGTGAATTTAAGCAAGTGGGTGAGAATAGCATAATGATGGCATTACTGATGTTATCCAAAGTTTCAATTGTTAGTTTATACTTTGAATTGATCATTAGCAGTAACATCGCTGAAGGCAACGTTTGTGACAGAGGCAATCAGGATTAGTTTGAGTTATGCCTTACCTCATTGTTCTGACGGACGTTGATGGTCCTCTAATTTAGTATGCCAATATAGAAACTGGAAAGGTTTATAGTGTTCCAATTTATGTGCATGGTTGTTAGTAATTGAAAAGATATATAATTTTTGGTTCTAGGTTTAGAAAGGATCACTTGTATTAATGGTTCAGTAGGATGACACTGATAATATGTTGTGTATATGAATCTGGAAAGCATGGACACGACGATGAGGGTGAATTAGTGAGTGTTATTTCCTTGTACCTTATAATTTTTAAAATTTTGAGAAATTGTTTTACCTTGCAATAATCTGATTCTTATGGGTATTCTCACTTTAAACATTAACCATAATGGATGCAGTAAACCTTTCTCAAGTTCAAACTTCAGCTGTAGTGATTCTCTGTACTAGAAGTGGCTGTCTTTTTTACATTTGGATTACTTGTCTGCAGAAATCATCTTTATGCGCTTAGTGTCAGTGTCTATGTAATAAGCATAACCCCTTTTTCATTGCCCATTGGTTGCAATCTTATTGCACTTTGTGAATATCATTGCTCTTGTTCAAAACACCCTGTTGTTGGATGCTGGCTAGATATCATTTGTCCTTCTGTAAGCTTGTGTCATAGGCACTTCTTGCAGAATGATAGTTTCTCTTATAATTTATTCTTCTGAAAGCACTGAAATTCTTTGCCATCTCTGATTCCGAACTGCTGGTGTGTTGTAGGCCATGCCATTTTTGTTGTGCATTTGAGGCAAATATGTTTTTTCTTCGCATTCTTTTTTATTTTCTCTTTTTATATATTGGTTCTTGTTATCCTTAGTAAAATTCTAGTTGATTGCTACTATCAAGGTCAAGCGTAAAGTTCATATTTCTCTAAATTTGTTGACTATATATGGTTTATATGTGTTTGTTGGACAGTTGTAGTGGAGGAGATATATTTCATTTTACGATACTGTCTCCTGTGTAGGATTTTTTTTTAGGTCAAATCTCCTGTGTAGCATATTAAGTGCATGATTTAGTGTCAAACTTCATTCATGCACCATTTGATGTTGTGCTATTATTATGTTTGGTTGGTTCGTCTTTCTCGAGCAAGGCATGATTTTGATAAATACTCATAGGTAGTGGGAGAGTGCTTCTCTGTTGCTGACATTCTTCTCTGGATTCTTGTGGTGAAAACTTGACTTTGTTTTTTTCTCAATAGATTGTTTTGATAGTGGTATCACTGAACTTTTCTGGTTGCTGGACCATTTTGGATATAGATACATTCCAGGAACTTGATAATATAATGCCCTGTGTGTATTCTGATAGTGCTTAGCCCGGGACCACCACTAGTTGAAAACATTGCTGGAATTATCACGTTATTGATATTTTTATTACATAGAATGCAGTTGCCATGAGAGGGACAACCAATATAAGTTGTTGTCAAGCTTTTCATCATTGTACTGGCCGTTTTATCCCTTCTATTTTCAAACCTCAATACAAATAGTAGATGTTTCTACTTGATTGTACCAAGGCTCCATTTCATTTGGCGGAAAATATTTTCCAAGAAAAATGATTTCCTTCGGGAAAAAGTCATTCTCTATTATTTGATAAATTGAAAATGACTATATTTTATTTGGGAAGTTAGTTAAAAATTGACAATAAAGACAGGAATTATAGTAGTGGGGGTGTTGGGGTGGCGGGGTGGCGGTAGGGCTGCCATGACTGGATTTCTGTCATTGGCCAAACAGTAAACACCGGTCAATGTCAGTCACTTTCTATCTCTACAATTTTGTATCATCCTAAGGCCACCATAACTATACCCAGACACCCATCACTGTGCTGTCCTGCATAAGTTATTTAATGAGTTTTTAACAATTTCTCCTATTGGCCATGAAGTGATTTTCTGTTGACCTAGTTGTTTACTAGGTCGTAAACACAAGAAAATCCAGAAATCATTTTCCGGAGATATGAAATGTTGTGTCTTTATTCAACCGGACTACAATTCTCCCAGGTGATGGGCATTTTGGAGACTGTTAGCACTGCCATTGGCTCTCCATGCGTTTGTGTCCTTGTGTATGCATACCCTTTGAATGAGTGTTTACTTTGCAGATGTATATTCCAATATCTTCGCACTGCATGTCTTAACGTGCTAAATGTTGTGGCTTAGAATTACTTGATGACACTATTCAATATTTCGGCTTCTTTTTTCAGGGAGATTTTTACTTGCGATTGTATATTCCAATATGATATTGGCAATATTCCTGTAATGTCTTAACGTGTCAACTGTTGTGGTTTTGCTTAGAACTACTTGATTGTATTATTCAATATTTTGGCTTCTCGTTTCAGGGAGATATTTTTTACTTGTTCTATGAAACCAAGAATTCAATCACCATGCAAGGAGATATAGGGGTTTCAAAAAGTACCGATAAGGGAGCAACATGGCAGCAATTGGGCATTGCCTTGGATGAAGAGTGGCATCTCTCTTATCCATATGTCTTCAACTACCTTGGCCAAGTAAGATCCAATTTCCTTTTGCATGCACACCAACCCAATTGATTCCATCACCAGGGCCAATGGAAGCAAAGAAACATAAAAAATATATCTGCACAATTTTTCATGCATCTTTGGTCAAGTTGCAGCATTCGGGGACACATGTATGGGTTGATTGCAGACACAAAAAACCACTGATAATCTAATTTTCGAGGGTAAATTTTATATCTATTGCATAACTTCTTTCTTCTTCTTTCTTACAGATATATATGATGCCTGAGAGCAGTATGAAAGGAGAGCTTCGTCTGTACCGAGCACTCAATTTTCCAATGCAATGGACTCTGGAAAAAGTGATCATGAAAAAGCCTCTTGTTGATTCCTTCATAATCAATTATAATGGAGCTTATTGGCTTTTTGGTTCAGATCACAGTGGATTTGGTACCAGAAAAAATGGACAGTTGGAAATCTGGTATAGCAGCTCACCTCTTGGTCCTTGGAAACCACACAAAAAGAACCCTGTATATAATGTTGATAAGAGCTTTGGGGCTCGAAATGGAGGCAGACCATTTTTCTACAATGGGAATCTTTATCGTTTTGGTCAAGACTGTGCTGAAACATATGGGAGAAGAGTGCGCACCTTTAAGGTGGAAGTTCTTACCAAAGACGAGTACAAAGAAGTTGAAGTCTCCTTAGGGTTAATAGAGCCAAGTAAGGGGCGCAATGCTTGGAATGGTGCTCGCCATCATCATCTTGATGTGCAGCAGCTGAATACTGGTGAGTGGATTGGAGTGATGGATGGAGACCGGGTACCTTCCGGAGATTCAGTTCGGAGGTTTATTCTTGGCAGTGCTTCAGTAGTGATTGTTGCTGTACTCGTTATATTACTGGGAGTACTACTTGGAGCTGTGAAGTGCCTAATTCCCCTCAATTGGTGCACTTACAACTCGGGTAAGAGGAGTGATGCATTCTTGGCCTGGGAAAGGTCACATTTGTTTTCTTCGAAAGTGAGACGGTTTTGCAGCCGCTTGAACAGAGAAGTTTCATTCTTCAGAGGGAGGATTAAACCTAATACCTGTGCTGGAAGACTGGTTCTTGCTATACTTTTGGCATGTGGAGTCGCAGCTATGTGCACAGGGGTTAAATATATATATGGTGGCAGCGGTGCAGAAGAAGCTTACCCATTGAAAGGTCACTACTCAGAGTTCACCTTATTAACAATGACCTATGATGCTCGTCTTTGGAATTTGAAAATGTATGTTAAACACTATTCTAGATGTTCCTCAGTGCGAGAAATCGTTGTGGTGTGGAACAAGGGAATACCTCCTAAAGTAAGTGATTTTGACTCCACAGTGCCAGTTAGGATCAGGGTAGAGAAACAAAACTCACTTAATAATCGGTTCAAGATGGATTCTTTGATAAAGACACGAGCTGTTCTGGAGCTTGATGACGACATTATGATGACTTGCAATGATATTGAGCGGGGATTCAGGATATGGCGTCAACACCCAGATCGTATTGTGGGTTTCTACCCCCGGCTAATTGGTGGAAGCCCGTTGAAGTATAGAGGTGAGAAATTTGCCCGGACTCATAAAGGTTACAACATGATTCTCACAGGGGCAGCTTTCCTTGATAGTCAAGTAGCTTTCGAGAGGTATTGGGGTGAAGAAGCCCGCCAAGCTAGGGAAGTCGTGGACAAGTATTTCAACTGCGAGGACGTGCTGATGAATTACTTGTATGCAAATGCAAGCTCATCTAAGACTGTGGAGTATGTGAGGCCTGCATGGGCAATCGATACGTCCAAGTTATCCGGTGCTGCAATCAGCCGAAATACACAAGTTCACTATCATATAAGGAGCAACTGCCTCCAGAAGTTTTCTGAGATGTATGGAAGTTTGGCCGGTCGCAAGTGGGAATTTGATGGCCGGAAGGATGGTTGGGATGTATAGCCAGGCAGGTAGAGTAGCTAGTCGCTTATCAACTCCTGAATTTGTTAATCCTTCTCTCTTCATTTAGTGAACTTTTAGTAGTTTCTTTTTATACTCCTTTCCCTCCCTAGCCCCCTGTGAATTTCCTGTCGGGGAATTTAGTTTATCTATATATTTGAATTTTGATCAGTAAGATGTACATTGTATTTTTTTGGTATTTCTTATGTGTTGGTGGAAATTGATCTGGCTTAAGTTTCTATTCCTCATGATTTTGGACGCCCCATGGAAATTGCGAATTTTATTGCCAAAAATGTGGTATGTTATTATATCCCCAGACTGAATCCTGGATAAGAGTATGATCTATTATGATTGCAATAATGTTATGAAATATAAATGAAAGAACCACCTAGCTCTCTTTTAGTTTTTCTTCCCCTAATGTTGGAAGAGGTCGAAGTTCAAAAAACCCCTTCGCCGTTGATAAAAAAAACAAAAAAAAACATTAAACTCAATGCTAATATACTTAGGGAAGTTTCTCAGTTAAAATCCTTAACCTAAAATTGAAACACAAATTGTAAACTCAATAACGGAAGTTAAGCAAGCTTAAAAGCAGAGGGCATTTTCGTGATTAAGGCTTGGAATGTGGTGGTCGAAGAAATGGAGGATGATACTTGGAATTTTGCATGACAGTGTTTACAGCAGCTCAAGAAATGGTTTTCTTGCTTGATGAAGGTTCGGGTTTTGACCTGTCGTTGTTGCTTAATTTATAGAGGCTGAAGGCTCCTTTAGTTCTCAAACTCTAGCTGTTGACACCTCTCTTCTCCCCATTTCTATAAGAGAAACTCTCATACAGCGGGGATAGCACTTTTGCTTTTCCGGCTAATAACGCAATGACACGTAGGATAAATTTTTTCACATGTCATTGTGTTATTAGCCGGGATAGCACAACCCCGTTACAAGTAAGGGTATTTTTGCATTTCCAGAGGGGTTTGATTTTTCTTTTCCGGTCCCAACAGAGAGATCATCAGGAGCTAGCATAACTAAAAGCTGCTAAGCATAAAGCTTAAGTGGAGAATTTGCAGCTCCGTCTTGAAGCTCAAGATGCTCGCGACTCTACAGAGGATCGTCACCTGAAGGAAGAGGTTTCTCGTCTCAAAGATCTACCGGCCCAAGCTGAATCTCGCAAAGGGAAGACTTTGAAGCTTCAAGAGGATGCTTCCAGCTCCAAGAAGCGTGAGTTAGAGAAAAAGACTCAGAATTTGGGCAGGATCAAATTTTCCCTTGAATTGAAAGGCCGAGTGCTTGAAGAAAGATTTTCACGACTACAAACTTCACACCGTTAAAGCTGTTCGTCAAAGTTACAATGAATGACTTGACTCTAACATCAGGGATGCTACAACAGTGGATGCTTGCAAGTCATTTAGTTTGAAGAAGAACTCTACCTCTACAAGCCAACTTGCCAAGTCATTTAGTTTGCAAAAGAACTCTACTTACGCAAGCTAACTGCGAGGGCTTAGCCTCTCCCTTGAACATAGGTTTTATTTGTTTTAACTTTGCTAAGTTTTCGCCAATGGGTCTAGCTTAGTGGAAAAATACTTGTATTTACAAAGAAATAATGAACCCAATTTTGTATTCACCTTTTGAAGATGATTTATGAATTTGAAATGGCCCCAAAACCATTAGTTGAAGGGTGTAAATAGTTGACAGAAAAACAAACAAAAAAAACCCAAAAGAGAAAATTGACTAGCTTCTGCCTCCACCTTGCTAGTTCTTCAATTTCACTCCCAAGAATACATGAACTCCCAAGAATTATGGGTCCAAGCTTATGGCAGACTCAAATCATGCAAATCAATAAGCCCAACACAGCTCAAACAATTCCATGCATTTATCATCAAAACAAAGCCTCTCCCTCTCCCAACCCAACACCTCATATATCCAAAACTCACTTCTTCAACTGAAAAAAACTTCACTCACATTCTCTCCTTCTTAAACCACTTGGAAAAGCCAGACCTCTGCCTCAGCCTCTACAATGCCATCATCCAAGGCCTCCCTTCAAACCCCAACAACAAAGCAAGCTCGCTTCTTCAGCTGTTGGAATTACTCAAACATATGCTTGTCAATGGCCTCCTTCCTGATAACTACACTGTGCCCTCCGTTCTCAAGGCATGCGCGCGGTCGCGTGCGCTGAGAGAAGGCCAGCAAATGCACACCTATGCTATCAAGACTGGGCTTGTTTTGTCCAATGTGTATGTGAAGAACACTCTTATGAGGCTTTATGCTGTTTGTGGGGTTATAAATTGTGTCCGCAACTTGTTTGATGAAGGTCCTCAACGAGATTTGGTGTCATGGACTACGCTTATTCAGGGTTATGTTAAAATGGGGTTGCCCAGAGAAGGCGTGGAAGCATTCTTTGACATGTGTGATGCCAAAATTATGGCAGATGAGATGACATTGGTCATTGTTCTCTCTGCTTGCTCTAAATTGGGAGACTTGAGCTTGGGGAGGAAGATAAATGAATACATATATGATAATGGGGTCTACCGAGATGTTTTTATAGGAAATGCTCTGGTTGATATGTACTTGAAGTGTGGAGATGCTGATTTTGCATATAAGGTGTTTAACGAGATGCCTGTGAGAAATGTAGTTTCTTGGAATTCAATGATATCAGGTTTGGCACATCAAGGGAAATTTAAGGAAGCATTGGATGTGTTCCGGGAGATGCAAAGAATAGGTCTTGAGCCAGATGATGTTACTTTAGTTGGTGTTTTGAATTCGTGCGCGAATCTTGGAGTGCTCGAGTTGGGGGAGTGGGTACATGCTTATGTTGATAGAAATCGGATCGAGGCAGATGGGTTTATAGGGAATGCACTCGTGGATATGTATGCTAAGTGTGGAAGCATAGACCAAGCCTTTAAAGTTTTTCAGGGCATGAAACGTAGAGATGTATATTCCTATACTGCCATGATTGTTGGATTAGCTATGCATGGGGAAGTTGAGAGGGCATTGGATATATTTGCTGAGATGCCTAGAATGGGCATCGAACCAGATGAGGTGACATTTATAGGAGTCCTGGCAGCATGTAGTCATGGAGGACTTGTTGCAGAGGGTCAGAAATATTTTAGAGATATGTCAAGTGTGTACAAGCTCAGACCTCAGACAGAGCATTACGGCTGCATGGTTGACCTTTTAGGCCGTGCCGGGTTAATTAACGAAGCAGAGGAGTTTGTTAAAAACATGCCAATTGAGCCCGATGCCTTCGTCTGGGGGGCCCTATTGGGAGCCTGTAGGATCCATGGGAAAGTAGAGCTGGCTGAAAGTGTAATGAAAAAACTACTGAAGGTAGAGCCAGAGAGAGATGGTGCATATGTGCTCATGTCAAACATATATTCCTCAGCAAATAGATGGAAGGATGCAGTGAAGTTGAGAAGGGCAATGAAAGGAAAGAACATGAAGAAAACTCCTGGGTGCAGTTCAATTGAACTTGATGGTGTTGTTCATGAATTCAGAAAGGGTGACAAATCACATAAAAGAAGTAAACACATATACAAATTGCTGGATGAGATTATGAGCCACCTAAAGAACCATGAGCTATTGGCACATTGAAGAACATTCTTTTGATGATTGAGGCATATCAACAGAAAATCGTTCCGGTGGGTTGAGAAAGAAAAGGGTTGGTAGTGTGCACGCATTGCGCCTGGCATGATCAACTTGATCCCATAGTTCAACATCATGGTCTTTGAGGATTTACTGCATATTCCGAGAGGTAAGCAAGAAGATAAAGTTTAATAATTTTTGTCAACCTACTGGGTAATTTAATGTAAAAAATTATCTTGTAAACTATTAACTACACTCCATGATCCACACAAGATTTAATTATACTGTACTATATGATCTATGTTTGCTTATGCAGAAGCTGCTTTTGTCTTCTACCAAAAACACCATTAAGTAAAGATGAGTGCTCGCATCAGTCGTCCACGCACACGTCGGGACTGTGAGCTGTTAATGCACGCAAGTCCAACAATGCATCAATGGCTAATGCCCATAATCCTTTAAGTTGATGGACCAAGCCCCAAGTTTTCCCACTAGTGTAGAAAGTTAGCTACAAAAACTTACAGGTCCTTGTATCATTTTTATTATAAAAAGCCCAATTTTATTGGGTTTATGGAGTTGGATGGCGTACACGCATACCTTAGTTGCTAAGACAGAAGCCAGCGGAAGTAGGGAATTATAGAACCCCACAACTAGCTTGCCTCCTAGAAAGTGTGTAGTTTGATGCCTGCAGAATTGGCTTTGAACCCTATTATTAACTTATCCGACATTGCCAAATCAAAAGAAACCTGTTTCACTACCATAAGCTTTGGAAACTATAATAATTATAACTTATAAGGCAGTTCTCTGTTACTACTACATCAGCCAGAAATCTGCTCAATTTCATTCCTTTCCGTTAACAAACATCCACTCATTAAAATATTCTAGTAATCTTTTTCAATCAAACTTTGTTGGGTTTTTCTCTTCATTTTCGTTTTTTGGGTTGTTCGGATGCTTTGCCTTGTTATCCAATTCAAGATCAAAGTAGTTTACTGCTGGATCTCCACATTAGTCAACATGTTTTAGACGTCTACAATACCCGTTTGGATTCTTGGGTGCTTAAAGTGAAGGGGGGGATGCAATACAAATGAGAAAACTTACACGAAACCGGTTTATGCAATCCTTCTTTCTATCTCTCTCATCACGTGATAGGTTAACTAAACGAGTGATAGCCAAGTTTTTCTCTCACAAAAGGCAACATCATAGCCACATAACTAGGAAACAAGGCACCCCTGCCAGAAGGCAACCCAAACCAAAATTGAAAGATCCCCAAGAAGCTTGAAGCAACAAGAAAATCAGCATGAAATTTTAGATTATTTCCATGCTTTTTCAAATTTAAAGAAATTCATCTTAGAAATTATTTTTGGTGATTTTTGCCAAAAAAGAAAAAGAAAATTAAGGCTACAACAGTTGAACCAGTAAGCATATGGTCAGGGTACTATATGGGCTGAAAGAGGGAGGACTGAGTCATATTAGTACCTGCCCTTTAGCATTTGCCTTGGCAGTTTTGGCTTGTACTATTTTATCCCAAACATATCGTCCAACTTTACAGTGGAGCAGCAGGGTTTGTCTTGTACTATTCTGGTATTCTGCTATACCTGTCTAAATCCATATGCAGCAAAAACTTTAAAAGATATTTTAAAATAAAAAAATTTCTGCTGCTATTCATAACAAAACTGATTTTTTTTTTCTTAAATGTTTTTTTGGGTAATGTTTTTGGACTAAAGATTTCACGTTTCTGAGCGGAAAACTATTAAAGTTTTGTTTGGGTAATGTTTTTGGCCATTGTTTTGTTTGGGATTCACTGCTCAATTTTGTCTCAACCAACATGTAAAAAAAGTGGATGTTATTATTCATAATTATTAAAGTTTTCTTTTTGTTTTTCTCCTAACAAAACTTATTAAAGTTTGGTTAAGTGAAGGAAACAATGACCAAATCAGTAATTTCAAGAGAATGTCAATCAACTTTTTCTTTCTTCTTTTTAACAAACTCTGCAATCCACTTTTTCATGACGGATAAGATTTTTGTGATTACAATTGTGAAGGTTTGTGCATTTTATGCCTTCAAACTCAAAACGCCACTTCATAATTTGACCTAACACAATACACTTTACAACCAAAATTGATGATTTGAACGAATTTGAAGTTTTTTTTTTTTTTTGGGAGGGGGTTAATGAGGAACACCTTATTTGTTCATCAATTACATGAACTTTAGACAAATCCAAACTAATCAACGGGTCTAGTATAGTGAAAAAGGGCCTTAATTTACAAACCAATAGTCTCAAATTTGAACCCCATGACACTTTGGTAGTGTGTGTGAGAACACCCTTGACACCTAAACGATCGATTGTATTTAAAAAAAAAAAAAAAGACAAATCCAAACTAAGAAAATGAAAAGGATAAAAAATAAATTTTGGTAACCAAAGAGAAAGAAGTAATATAGGAAGATTGAGGGGGTGAAAGTGCAAAATCACACGGGCAGAATCAAGAATTTCAGTGTACAAAGGAGGTTGTGCTGCTGTGGCAAATGGAAAAAATCTCAGTGATGAGAGAGAAAGAGAACACAAAACAAAGCCAGTCACTCTTCCTTTAGCTCTTGATTTTGTGAAAACAGAGCTGCTCTGGTGTGGGGCTCTACCAGTCTCATAGTTTTCAACGTGAAAAAAATACAGTTTTTCTCAACATATGCTTCTTGTTTGGTTTAAATATAACGCAGATGGTAGAAATGCCCGTGGATTGGCCTCTGCTCTCTCCATGAACACTTTCCTTCAAAGTTAAAAGAGTAATGCTATATATACCTACCACATTTTAGTATCACATATTGGTACTTAATGTGACAAACTGATGTGTACTTGTGGATGCAAATTCCAGTCATGTAATAATAATTTTTTGTATTACATATTGATACCACATTTTTTGTATCACATATTGGTATGGTTATGTGTCGTAGTTTTATTTGCCGCGTTTGCATTATTTTATTTATATACACCAAATGAGCATAATGTACATAGATAAAGACAATTCAAATCCTAAAGCAATGTAAATAAACTTTCGCTTCATTCATGCTAACCATGTAAGAATTCACATTTAGTATGTTACTAACTTGAGTGTAGGAAGAAAATGTTATATGTAAACAAGTAATTGCATGTGTAATTAAGGAATTTCGTATTGCATTATTCATCTATGTCATTATGGTGTAGGTCCTTATTGTGCTACTCGACATAAGACTGGTTTTAGAGATTGAACTAAAGAGGCACTCGCGTTTTTTGTGTGTGTATGTGTGTCTCATGATAGTATTCATACAACGCATCTATTTAATAGATGACATTTTTGTTTCATTATATTTGCGTTTAAATTACGAATGAACTGTTTTATTCCATCATTTTATATTTGTGCCTAAATGCAACCTTTGTATAATTTATGCTTTACAATCCAGATATCTCTTCTTGTTAAATGCCAAACGGTTGCAATGGTTAGTTTGGGCTGGCGGTTTGCATGGAGAGAGGTGAGGAGTGGGGTCCACACAAACTGTAACTACTTGTTGTATAAAAAATACAGTTCCTACCTAAACTCACTCTTGGAGAATAACCACAATTTGCGTGAATTCCCCATACTCCAATCTCAGCCACAAGGTAGTGCTAATCTTACCACTCCTCCTACATAAATTTTGGTACATCTTTTGGTAATTTCATTAATTACTTTGGCAAAACATGGTTTTGTTAAATCCATAATAAAAACGTATGTAGGTCAGGAACGTTGATCGGGGTTTTGTGCCCGTCTCCTTACATTCAGGTTCAAAACGAGTACGATATGGAGAGCCTTGAGGGTTTTTATTTTATTTTTATTGTTTAGTCTATGGAATTTTCCAAAGCAAGTTTAATTTTTGGATGAGGAGGATTGTGAATGTGAGGTAAATAATTTATCAGTTGAAGTTATAAGTATTCATCATTTCTTACATTTAGCATATGCACTTATGTTTGCAAATGGTAAAAATCTCAACGGTTTCTGATTGAAAAAGATTAAAGAATGCAAAGAAACAAAAGAAGGAAAAGGGATAAAGGTTAAGTTTTTTCGGACCAAAAAAAGGTTGTTCAATTTTTGTCTTAACCAAGATGTAAAAAATGGGTTTTGATATTTTCTGCATTTCAAATTCAAAATATTCTTATTTGTACTTCGTCTCGTTCGTTTGTTACAGGATATAATTTTTTCTGAATAATTAAAACGATGTTCAAAACAATTTTTGAGTACTAAACATCTCATTTTCTCACTTCATTAATATAAAAATCCCATTTTCTCATCAATTACAATTTCTTATATAGATAATATAAAAAAGTCGCCACATTTTTGTCATAACCATAAAATGAAATAAGAAGGGGAAAGAAGTAATTAATGAAGAATTGGGGGGTGAAAGTGCAAAATCTGGCGGGCAGAATCAAGAAATTTAGAATAGGGAGATTGTGAGTGGGCCCTACTGATGGGAATCTCAGTAACAAACTCCCAGCTGTGCTGCTGTGGCCAATTGGAAAATCTCATTGAGTCTCAGAGGGAAATAAGAGAGAGAGAGAGGCAGCAGAGCAGAACAAAGAAACAATTCTCTCTCTCTCTCTCACTCTTTCGCAGATATATACAGTTTCAGTCCCTTCTCCTACCACCCTCCAATCTCTCTCTTCTCTGCCTCTCTCTCTACCAGTTCTTGATTTTCTGAAAACAAAGCTTTTCTGATACAAAAGGTTAAGAGCTTTGTATTTGTGGGACTAAGTAAGCCTTCATTTTTAAGCTCTTTTGTTTTTCATCTTCATGTGCTTGTGTTTAATTCTGATCATTTGGTTTATGTGAAAATGCTGCAGAGAGACAAAACACACCCATAAAAAGGCAAAAGGCTCCAGAAGACAAATTAAAGACTGGTCCAAAAATGTATGAAGATACAATAGGCTGCAACTTTGACCCAAACTCCATGCCAGAATCAGCAGAAAGTGTCCTCAGCCTCAACCCTCTTCCCCCACCACCTCCACCACAAGTTCTCATGCCTTCTCCTTCAGAAACCCACAACAACAACAACAACAGCTTTGCTGTTGCAGAAAACTTGAGACTCTCCATGGAAGAGCTCTCCTACCCTCATCAACAAGATCATCATGCTGCCATGGAAATTGAGCTCCAAAATGAACTTGGGTTCAATCCATACAGCACCAATACTGACCAGAACAACCATAGCAGCCATTTGGTTTCCTTTGAGCAACAAACCAATTGGGACAATATTCATGGTGTCCATGATCAGATGCAGCAACAATTGCAAGATGGTGCTAATGGTGCATACCCACCTACACCTGACCTTCTCAACCTTTTCAGCTTACCTAGATGCTCACCCTCTTCTGTTCTCCAAAACTCGTCCATTACCTTCACAAACCCCAACCCGAAAAGCTCCAATTTTCCCAACTCTTTGGGGTTCCTCGGAGATGTCCATGGTGGGATTGACACCCCGCCAGGGACAGCGAGTTCGGTTCTCTACGACCCACTTTTCCATTTGAACCTGCCTCCACAGCCACCATTGTTCAGGGAAATGCTTCAGTCCTTGCCACATGGGTACAGCTTGCCAGGCTCAAGAAATGGGTCTTTGTTTAGTAGTGGTGGGGATGAGAGAGAGGGGATTGGAGGAGGGGTTTACTCAGATGGGATTAATAATGGGAGGCAATTTGAGAATGGGGTGTTGGAGTTCTCCAGAGAAATGGGTTCTATTGGAAGAGGAAGAGATGTCAAAGGGACCAAACACTTTGCCACTGAGAAGCACAGGAGAGTCCAGTTGAATGGCAAGTACACTGCCTTGAAGGATTTGCTTCCACACCCAACAAAGGTATATACTTCAAATTCAAAATTTCACATCCTATCACTGCAAAAATATATGCTACTGAATTTGATTAAATTTCACGAAAAAATGCATATTAGTTGTTTTGAAGTTTTAATTGGGTAATGATTTCATGAATCACAGTGTATGACATTTTGATATCCAAGTTACTGGCTTGGTAGTTTCCCAAGTTTTTGTCTTTTGTTTGGCTGGATAATCATATATTTTGCTGAATTAATGTTTGCCCTTTGGTCTTTGACAATTAATTGGAGGAAAGAGTGATAGAGCATCAATTGTGGGAGAGGCAATTGATTACATAAAGGAGCTTCTGAGGACAGTGGAAGAGCTGAAATTGCTGGTGGAGAAGAAACGGTGTGGGAGAGAGAGGAGCAAGAGGCGCAGGACTGAACAAGATGGTGGTGCTGGAGATGATGAGAGCTGCAACATGAAGCCTCTTGGTGACCCTCATGACCAGTCCTACAACAATGGCTCTCTGAGGAGCTCATGGCTTCAGAGGAAATCCAAGGACACTGAGGTCGATATCCGCATTATCGATGATGAAGTTACGATCAAACTGGTTCAGAGGAAGAAGATCAATCTGTTGCTGTATGTGTCCAAGCTTCTTGATGAGCTGCAGCTTGATCTGCATCATGTTGCTGGTGGACACATTGGAAATTCCTACAGCTTCTTGTTCAACACCAAGGTTGGTAGTCTGCAATTTGTCCCAGTTTGTTTTTCTTTCATGCAGGTGGTGTGGTTTTTAATTAATTATGGTTAATTTGGTTTTAAATCTACAGATGTATGAAGGGTCATCTTTGTATGCAAGTGCTATAGCCCAAAAGCTCATTGAGGTTCTGGACATACAATATGCAGCAGTTCCACCTACCAACAGTTTTTAGGGAGGCATGAGTTATTTTAATAGATACTTTCTCTGTTGTTGATCTTACTATATGATGCTGAATTTTAAAAGTAGACAATAAACTTGGTGTGACAGAAGCATGAAATAGAACATATAGGACTTATATATTTTCTGGGTTTGCATGGTTTTGATAATTAGTCACTTTAATATGGCTTGAGCACCACATTAATTAGCTAATTGCTATTATTTCATGCAAGTGGTAGGGGTCATTATTTGGCCTGCGGCTTATTATTTAGTGGGTTAGGCCTGGGTTAAGGTGTTTAAACTAAAGTTCAGTTTGACTCATAAGTCTGACCTGTTTGAGCCCATGGAAACCCAGCCCAGCCCACCCATCAAAGCCCGGCTGACAGGCCCACCAATAAAATAAAATAAAAAATATATAATTGGGGTTAGGGTGATTTGGTCGCTGGTTTGTTTTGGTTAATAATATTTGCCCATATGTCGAAGCCCAGTTGTTTCAAACCCTAGCTAGCCTGCATTTCCTATATTGTCTCTCGCTCATTTGCATCACTTGTGCTCTCTGGGAAGAACGCTCCGCGGCACAGGTCTCCCTCTGGTTATCTGTGTTCCTCTGTGAGTTGAATTAATTGATGTTATCTATATATATAAAGCAAAAGGCAGAGAATGGTGAAACATTCAAAATACCAGAAAATGCCCTTGGTTAATGCAAATATTAAGAATTGAAATTATTGATTAAATGAGGATAATATGGTAAATTCACACTTTTTCATATTTAAAAAAATTAAAATTAAAAGAAAAATAAGATAATGGCCTATTTTTATGGAACACAACTACCCATTATCTTTTTTATTTCTAAAATAAATTTTAATTTTTTTTTTAAAAAAACCTATCGCATGCGCGGAAGTGCGTGCGAAGAGGCTAGTTGATATTAATATCTAAATTAATAAACCAAACACATATGAGGAGACGTATATGTTATTTAGATATTAACTAGCCTCTTCGCACGTGCTTCCGCCTTTGCGAGAGGCCTTTTTTAAAATTAAGAAAAAGATAATGGGTAGTTGTGTTCCATAAAAATAGGATCCATTATCTGATTTTTCTTTTAATTTAAATTTTTCTTAATATGAAAAAGTGTGAATTTACCATATTATCTTCATTTAATTAATAATTTAAATTCTTAATGTTTTCATTAATAAATGACATTTTCTGGTATTTTAAATGTTTTATCATTCTCTGCCTTTTGCTTTATATATAGAGATAAATCCCTATTGGTACACTGGCAAGTGATGTTAATGTTTTTTTGATGAATAAAATTCCTATTGGTTTTTGAATACAATCGATAGTCTAAACTATAAGGGGAGTGGGTTTCTTACACACACTAAGGTGCCATAGAAATGGAGGTTTGAAATCGAGACCATTGGTCTTCAAGTCAAGGCTCTTTTTCCACTCGGGCTTGATCTCGTTGCCAAACAAATCCCTATCATTTATTGACTAAAAAAGTACTCAGAATACGTGGGTCTGCTTTATACCATAAAAAGCTCATGAAATATGAACTAGAAAGCTGCTTTTGATTTTATAAGAACAAAACTGAAAACAAAAATCCCTTTTGGTAACTAATGATATTTTTCTGGTGCAGCCAGATGAAATATTCAAACATTTCATATGTAGAGAAGCGAATCAATGTGGAAATTAGTCGTCTACTGGGGAGTTTGTTTAACTTCATTTAACACAGATAAAACCCAATCTAATAAATCAATCTTATTAACAGAAGAACTATCTTGGCACATTTTATGAAAATGTACCATAGATTACAAGTTATACGAGTATGAAAGGAATTAAATGCACAACAAGATTTCATTTCGCATTGTCGTGCACATACATTTTACAATTTCTGTTCGGTAATCTGCGTAAATGGGAGAGAAACTGAGAAGCGAAAAATATCTCCACTTCCTAGCTCTTTGCAAAGATAGGCCTGCATCATTTTGCACAAGAAACAATTTTAAGCTATGATATTCTTTTACAGGAAAAAAGAAATAAGCAAGGGAGAATTTAGGATAAAGTCATTCGAAATTTAATTCCATGGCACAACCTAACATTCGAAGCATCAAAGCTTGGTATCTTACTGTCAGGTCAGCTACCAAGACTGGTATGAGATAAGAATACCATGAAGTTTTTACAAAACCGTTAGCTGAAAACACGAAGCTATGCTCATACAAGAAAACATAACTTAAATATCCTAATACATGGGGATGGGGTTGATTTGGTTCCATTACAAGATATCATAATGAATAACTACTAACAGCAGTTCAGAGAACAACAACTGTATAAACAAGCAAGGCCTCATACCGCAATAAAGTACACAGAACCAACAGTATACACCAAAACCAAAACTACGCAGGCAAAACTAAACATCCCTGACAATAGAACTTGGAAGATGCCAACTGCTAGAAAATCCTATGCAGAGAACTCGATACATTTTCCAGCGATCGAATATGCCAGTAGCCTGCATAGACTATAGAATCTTCAGATTTAATTGGAGCATTCTCTTATATGGAAGTTTTTGGTAATCAAAGAATCTGATATATATATACACAAACTCTTTGATATTCACTTGGAGCTATAACAATCCAACAAGTAGGTGAGATCTAAACATTCAACTATCAAAAAAATTGGCATTGCATATTTAATAATATTTAGATATTAATGACTACTACGCAGGAAACAACAGGTAAGTACCATAAAACAAAATTTCCCCAAGTCATAAGATCACAAGATTAGTCCACAAGCTATCCTTCAGCATACCATCAATGATTTTGTAAAAGTTGCACTTATTAGAAATTCTACAAAAAGCAAAAAAAATGCAAAATTGATTTAAATGATGAAAAAAAAATTGTAATTCAGCAAAGAAACAAAAAGAACTTGATTGAGTCGAAAAATCATACTAATATTTTTCTTTGCTACTAGAGTGTATACTGTGAAGGAATCTATCTATTTCATGGTACTACTTCTATACCTAGGTTTTTGGGCAGTATTGGCTCTGTACAACTATAAACCATAGATAAAAGACGATAGATTTTCAGGTAACAACATTATGCACAACTTACTCAAGCATATAATGAAGAACACCACGAACAAAAATGATTCTAAACTACCAAAATTTCACAATCCCAATATGATGCGTATATAACCAGTTTTCCAATACATTATCCTTCTGATTAGCAGCACAAGATAGCCAGACCTCAATCAAGGTTATAGTCACTATTGTAGTTCCATTACAAACCCCGCACTCATATGTTCTTCACAAATTAACTCACAATTCCTCTGAGTACCAGAACGGCCCCAAATTTGGCTAAACATGTTCCACTTAAGCACTCCCACAATTCTTGAAAGCAACTTACCTTATAAATTAGCAAATTATATGCTTCGACAGAAAAAAAGGCAAATTATATGCAGAAACACATAAGAAACACTTTCCAAACAATCAAAAAGCAACCACCTCCTGCAATTTGAGGACTTAAACCAACTGGGTTACATTCAAAATTACAGCACAACTAGCAAATTACTCAACCACTGAATGTGTGTAAAACTTTTAAACATTAACGCAGCTAGCAAGCGATTTCCCTAAAAACACATGATAACCATTCACCGAAAAATCGTAAACACAACTTTGAAGAACAAAACCCAACTGGTTCACCTTCTAACCTTCTAAATCTGTGAAGAGGAACCAGAAAAAGCGACTTACTCATTGGATGTACTTGGGTATTTCTCCTTTCCTTAAGAGGGAAAGAGAGTAGTGAGCAGCATCAATGAGGTCATCAATGTTGTGCAGGGACCTCTCCTCAGACGCCACCATAAAGATTGCGCGCGCCTCAGCCTTCTTGGCCAGCCTCGCTGCCAAATTCAGAGGCAAATCCGGTGAGTTGAGGCTTCTCAGAATTTGGCGATACAGTGAGAGAACGCGTCCTCTGTTTCTTGCCAAGTCCTCTGCCGTTGCCCATATCACACCCTTTCCCATTTCTCACTGCTCAGATTTCAAAGCCGTCAAATGCTTTGAGCTTTTTAATTCCCTAATGCCGGGCCGAGCCAGCCTAAAGCATGGAGTGGGCCGGATCTGTTTTTTTTCTTTCTCTAAGTTGGGCTGGGCTGGGCTACCTAGCGAATTCGGATTCTCTATTTGGTCCCTTAATCTTGAATGGTTTAATATCATATATCAGGGATACTATAATGAGGGGTTACAGTGAGGGGTTATAACTTATAATGAGAGATCTTGAATAGCCATTTTATTAAGTGCAGAGTTATTATTAGATTGCTGAATTGAACCCCTCATTGTAGAAGCTCCCTATAATATAATGTCGTGTAAGCTTAATGTCTTGGTTACTTCCACCAACCTTTGCAAGACTCCTGTGTTGCATAGATACACCATTTTTTTTGGCCAAGTTGAGCATCGGATATGTTTGGATGCGGTAGTATTCATGGGTGTGAGTTTTCCCTCATCTCCCTTCCCAACTTTGAAAAAAAAAAAAAAAAAAAAAAAAAAAGAAAAATCTCCAATACTTACTATGAAAGAAAGAAAATTTTCAAATACGAGCAATCACCACAATTTGTCAAAGCTGTCAAAAGATGCAAATGTAGGTTATGTGAGTTAGCCCTGTCAGAATAGTATACTCATTCCCTTTACCAAGTTTAATGAGATTATGAGTGGGCCCCACTTTATGAGAATCTCAGTAACAAACTCCCACAAGTTTCAGTCCCTTCTCCTACCACCCCTCCCTCCCTCTCCCTCTCTCTCTCTCTCTCTCTCTCGATCGTATAAATTCCATCTCTACCAGTTCTTGAATTTGTGAACAACTCTTCTTACTTGGGGGGCTCTACCATTCTGATACAAATAGGTTATAGCTAGGTTAATAAGGCTAATTATGATATTAATTTGCGGGAGACTAATTTCTCTGCTTTTCACATTCATGTGGTTATGTTTGATTCTGATCTTTTGGTTGCTGTGGAAATGCTTCAAAGAGACAAACAGAGATATAATAAGAAAAGGCTGCTACTTTGAAGACACAGTAGGGAAATCAACTCCAAGAATGTATGAAGACACAGTATGCTGCAACTTTGATCCAAACTCCATGCCAGAATCTGCAGAAACTGTGC